TCCTCACCGAGGTGGTTTGTTGCTCCCTGGTGGGGACAGCAAGAGGAAACTTTTGTCTCATATCCTCGAGGGTTCAGACATGGGCTGCAAGAAAGGCTCACGTAGAACCTTCTGCTAACTGTCCCTTTTGGTTTCCTGCTGAGCTGGTGTGTGTGGGGTCTCCGGCCACCATTGGGCCTGGGGGTGGGGTGGGGGTAATCGCCCTCTGACTACTGGCCCAGTCCCCAGCCACTCTGGGAGGAGGCCCTCCCAGGGCTTCGGAAGAGGCACTCCTCACGGGATTCGAGCCCAGCCGCCACCGGCCGCACCCGCCAGCCCTTTGTTCCAGCGCAGCTTGCTGCGAGCAGCTGCACTGCACTCGAGACCTGGGTCGCGAGCGAACCAATTCACTTGGCGCCTTCTCTTCCCACTCTACGACTCAGGCGCTCTCCCAGCTCCAGCGTCCCCACACCCAGTCCCGGCTGTTCTTCAGGCTCCGGCCAGCGGGAGTCTTTGAGGATTGGGGAAGTGGGGTTCCCAGAGCCAGCACCTTGGCCCCAGGCTCTCCTGCTTGGCTCCCGTGGCCCCAGGAAGCAAGAGGACAGTTGAAATGTCACCCGCCGGGATAAATATTAACAAAAAGCAAATGAACTTGCGCAGGGGCCTGTTATCAATCAACCAGGCCGCAAGGCCACTTATGGCAAACACAGTCCAGGTTGGCCCCGGCCAGACTTTCTCATGGCCACCTCCTGGCCTGATCCCCCCCTCCCCCCCCCTCCCCAGGCCCTTTTCTAAGTCACTCTGGAACAAATTCTGGACAGGAAGGGGGCGCAGTCCGGTTCCGGAGACCCAGCCGGCTCCGTGGCATTTGGAGGTTTCCTTGCCTCCAGGTACCAAAGGGTCCGAGTGGCCCAGCACACACCCCTGCCCGAATCCTGGGCCTGCAGCCTCGCCTCCCAGGTCCCGGGTGCTGCGCCAGCTGGCGGGTGCGCTTTGCAGCCTCTTCCTGCGCTGGCAGCTCCCCTAGTGTGGTGGACGCCTTCTGGAATCTTTAATTGGAAACTAATCTCCTCGCATCTTAATAGGCGCCGGCGTCAGAGGCGGGGCACACACCCACCCGCACAGCCAAGACCTCCCACCCCCACCTGGGACGAGGAGCGGCGCGAATCTGGTTGTGCTGCACTTTAATGGGGCAGCAGCAAGTATTGCATTGAGGGAACATATATTGATTTTTAAAAGGTAGTTAATTTGGTGAGAATTTCCTCCTGTCTCCCTCCCGTCTTCCACCAGCAGATGTAATTTCCTAAGGAGAAGGCACCTCCCCAAACACGTAGCCACGTGTGGAGGGCTTGACTCAGGGAGGGGCACAGAGAAACCACTCGCCTGCCACCGATGGAACCGACCACGGCGGGCCCAGCCTCGAATGGGGTAGGGACTAGGTTGACGGGTCTTTGAGTGCAACAGCGAGCACAGCTGCAAGGAGCTTCTGGGTGCCTGGGAAGTGGTGGTGGGGAGGAGGCAACAGTGTAGCACAGCTGCAACCAACATGCCCTGAAATCCGTTTTATGTCTCCTGCAAAGCCCAGACGAGATCACTGAGAGGGTTCAGGAAACGGCCTCGCTTTTGTTTTTTTATAAATAACAATGCTAACAGAACGCCTCATAGTTCTTCAGTGACTTAAAAGTAGATCGTGGCTTTTGCAGCAACATGGTATTGCTCCCGGTTCCCTCCGCACCAGACCGTATCCCAGCCCTCCCCACCCCGTTAATTAAGCTAAAGAAAGGGAAATGAAAGGGTCAACGCTCCATCCCTCCATCCGGGTCTTAGGATGCGGAGGCCGTTTGGGATTAGGGGTTCAAACGTGTGTCCTACCAGAGTCTCCAACCTCCATGCCCCCCCCCCCCAAAAAAAAGACCACATGCCTGGGGCGGAGAATGACACGGCACAGGCTGCTGGATACCAGGCAGGCGCCCACTCCATATCCTCCTCGGCTCCAGGAGCCTCAGCCAGCACGCTGCCCGCGCCTCCCGTGTGCGGGTCGCAGCATTCGGGCTTCCCCTCAACAGCACTGGGGCGCTCAGGCATGGAGATCAGAGGGCGCTCACGCAGGACAGGGCCCAAGACCAGGTTTCCAGGACTCGGGGATCGTCTCTGAACAAAACCCGAGAGTCTGTCCTTCCAGGCGGCAACAGGAGGCAATGAGGGAGGAAGGGTCATTGAAGTCCCGAGCAAGCGCCTTCACGGGGTGGCGGGTGGGGGACGGGTTCCCCGGGGGCACCCCTCCTTTTCCACCAACCCTCCACCCCACCTCCGCCGGCCTGTGCGGGTACTGCCCGGGTAAAAGGTCCCGCAGCCCGGCTGGAGTCTGGCGCAGGCGTGTGAAAAGGCACTGATCACCGTAGGCACCCGCATTAGTGGAGCGGCCGGGGAGCGGGGCAGCCGTTTCTCCACCCTCCCTGGAACTTCAGCGGCTCTCAGGTCGCAGTCAGCCGCAGGGGTAGTGGAGGGGCGGGGGAGGGCGATACGGAGGCAGCACACGAGGCTAGCGAGCGGAATCGCGGGAGCCTAGAGGGCACCCAGTCAGCCTCTTCCTTCCTGTCTCCCTACCCCTGTCTTCCCTGCGCGGGGTCTTTGCTTGGAGCGCAGGAGCGCGGGGCTGAGGCTCAGCCAGCGCGTCGCTCGGGAGGGCAGGCCAGAGCGCCCAGACCCAAGATTGCTGTGCGTCGCCTCCCGGCTGGAGTCGCGGGCTCGCGGGCACGCCAGCACCTGCCTCCCTCTAGCTTCTCATTGGCCCGCACGAGGTGGGGGAGGGGGGCTCTGGCCTCTGGCTTTGATTTTAGTCTGTGAAACTGCTCAGTGCCCCCGGCTCTGAGCGGATTGACTGTCTCTCGTTCTCCAGGGACGAATTAATGGAGAACGATCAGTTAATTAACAAACCCGCACACCGGCTTTTACCTTTCTCTTCGCCAGGACTCAGGCCTTGGCGCCGGGGCTAAAATTGGGGGTGGGGTGGGGGCTGTGGGGGGGATGAACCCAGGAGTTACTCAGCTCAGCCCGGGTCTCATCAAACCGAGTCCGCCCAAGGCTACCGGTGGCTCTACTTCCCCTCGTGTCCTCCGCCCTCGGAGGTCGCAGAATCCGCACGACATCCTCTGTGCCGTTCAGGCTGGGCTCAGCTGTCCCCTCGGCTAGTCCGCCCGCCGGAGCCTCGTCCTCACCTTGGCCGAAAGAGGCGAGGGGAGCTAGGCACCGTGTCTGTGCCGCGCCGCCGAGACCTTCCCGCGAAACTCCGAAACGCTTCGGGGTTTCGGGTCGGGAGACCTTTGCTCGCAGACTTGGGGCCCATTTCCACACTCCCGCCCTTCCCTGCATTGGGATTTAGACGAAACATCATGCAAAGGAATACAATGAAAAGGAGAAGTCCTAAGCGAGTCAGCAGCGCCGGCTGTCTCCGGGCTGACCAGGACCTCCGCACCGTCCTTCTCCCTCTTCCTTCCACAGCCTGCTGCAAGCCCGCGCTTCCACCCACCGCCTCGCGGCTGTAGAACCTTCTGCCCCAACTCTGACTGCGGGCCCCTCCCGCCCCTATAGAGTTAGTGCGGGACGGGGGGTTACCGCAGCGAGTTCAGATCAACATTGGCAGGCAGCTCCAGCCCAAGTGTCCAACCGAGAAGCGCCGCACAGACGGTGTCTCCCCAGGTGAGGGGAGTGTTCTCCGCCTCGGGCAGTGCCGGCTGCCCGCGCTGTCTCCCAGCACAAACGCGCCCCGCAGTCGCATGGACCGCAGCACTCAGCCCTCAGCCCTCAGAGCCTCCCACAGCCCAACGCACCACGTCCTGGAGGAGGCGGTCTGCTGTCTGGAGCCCCGTACCGGCTCTTCCAGGCCCAAGGCCCCCATCCCGGGGAAAGGAGGAGGGGTGACGAGGCCCCGTCCTCTCTTCTTCCCGCCCTCCTTCGGTTCCTAGGCGTCCCCATCCCTTCTATCCCCGCGCGCCCAACTCCTTGACGCGCTCACCTGCTAAGCGGAGCGCAGACATGCGTTGGAACTCCGGCTCCTGCAGCCACTTCCACATCCTCCGGAACGTCTCCCGGCCAGACTTGAGTTTGCTCCAGGGTTTGGGGTTGCGCAGCAGGTCCGAGAGGGTCCCCTGGGAGCGGCAGAGCACCCTCTGAGCGAAGATGGCCTGTGGGATGCTGTAGCGCTTGAGCTCGGTGGTGATGCGCTGTGCCACCTCTTTGGTATTGATCTCTTCCATTTGTCCTGAATTACTCCCGTTGCTGACCTGCGCACCGGTCACGGAAGGGTTGGGCTCCCGGGCTGTGCCCAGGAGCTGCCCGTGGCCCTGGGCGTTCAGGTGGGCGTGGGGGTGGTGCGGAGGGAGGCCGTTGATGGGAACCATGCCGGCCGAGGTGGGCGTGAGGTGCTGCTCCCCGTGACGGCCGAGCATGGCCGGGTGGTGGGCTTCGAAGCCGTTGGGGGTGAGCATCTTGTCGGTGGGCATGGCGGCGCCAGGGTGAGCATAGTGGGGGAGCCCTTGCTGGGAGTTGTGGATGCTGCCCAGACCGGAACCAGAGAGGGGCGAGAGGCTCTGGCCCATGCCAGCCACGTCCTTGTGGTAGGGGGTATAGAGGTTATTCATGGAGGCCAGCCCTCGCTCGTCCCGCATGAGCGTGAAGCTACCGCTCACGTTGCCCGCCAGGCGCTGGTGGTGGTGCGGGTGGTGGTGGTGATGGTGGTGGTGGTGGTGGTGATGGTGGGGAAACTTGTCCGAGACGGTGGAGATGGGCGGCAGCGGCTGCAGAGGGGTCAAGGTGGTGTAGGTGGTGGGCATGCTCATACCTGGGGGAGTCTCGCAGGCCATGGTCATCGTGGGGTGAAGGGGGCCGGCCAGGCTGTGCTCAGGGGCCCGGTGGTGGTGGTGGTATTCGCCGCCGCCGCCGCCGCCGCCGTCCAGCAGGGACGCCATGCCCATGGAGCGTGGGTGCGCGGGGGGCAGGTGGCTACCGCGGTGCGCCACGGAGCTTCGCGCGTGGGGACTGCCACCCAGCAGGTCGGCAGGGGCGGGCACTGGTTCATGGCTCACCCCGTGCAGCTCGCCGATCGCCTCCATGGTCAGCTGCGCATTCATCGTGATCCGGGCGAGCGGGCGGCGGACACAACATCGATGAGGCCGGACAGAGGCGGCGAAGGGCGCACGGAGTCCGGTCTTCACATCGGCTGCCGGCGACTGCTGCCTTCCTTACTTCCTTCCTTTTCCTCTCCCTGTGGGGCTCTGTCTACCTCTCTGTACGAATCACCTTCCCTCGCGCCCCCACCAAATC